GAGAGAGAGAGAGAGAGATGCCAATGTGGGTGGGAGAGAGAGAGAGAGAGACCCAAAGTTTACTTTTTGCGGTGGTGAAGAAATGGGACAATTTGTCCCACGTCAAAGATTTAATGTAGCTTATACATCTATAAAAGCCTCATAGTTGTTGAGTTGGTGGGGCGTACGATTGGTTGGTGGGGCCCATGTGGGTGACGCCACTTTTTTAGACAATACCGTGGCATGGGCTGTTGCCCCATGTTTAAAAAAAATTTGACAAGTGCACTTGCAAAGAAAAAAATTTAAAAAATGCACTTACCCAAGTTTTCTCATTCAAATCGGTTCGGACCAGAACAGGCCTATTCTAGCCCGACATATTCGGCCGGTTTCTAATAGAATCGGCTGGTTTTGTCAAAGATCTAACCAGTTCAAGGGGGCACCCGGCTGGTTCCCGATATATTGAGGGATCCGGAACGGTGTTGATGATTCCCGATCCCGATCGGATGATTCCAATCCATATCAAGCGAGTCTGATCCGGATCGCCGAATTTTCAAACCTTGCTATGGGTGATTAGCGACTGGCTTTTCTTTTTATTTAGAAACTCATTCTTTGTGGTTGTGGATTGAAACTTCCACTAGGTGAGGCAAATAAAAGTTCGGACCAATTAGGATGCACATTGAACCTAAAGCTTTTTAGATTATGTGAAGAGTTAGGTTTGGCTGGGGCATTTCAATTTATGATTGTTGGATGACTTGACTCATTCAAATAAGGAAAAAGTTTATATGAGTTGTCAACCTTATACAATTAAGGCACACCTCAAAAACTCACTGGAAAAAGTTGTTTTGATGCTGAAAAACCCTGTAATTGATCATCTCAACCTCGAGATGTATGGATATGAAACAAAAATAGATTTTAAGTCCTAAAAATAAAACATTTTGTAGTGCATTATCTAGACCATCCATTTTTAAGTTTTTCAAATGTTTAAAGATCTACTTGAACTATACTATTTTCGAAGCTTTAAATTTTATAATTAGAAACGAAGATAGATTTTTTGCTATCACAAATATTTTCGGTACTGAAACAATGCCTTTCAGCACCATTTGAAGGCACACCTTACTTGGATTATTAAGATGTCACCCTTATATAAATGGCATCCTTCAAATAAACTTGAAAACAATTGCAATAGCCAGTTGAATCCAAATTCACCATGTGCATTAGGCCAAATAATTGACCATGCCTGGAGATTTTGATAATTTGTTTGCCTAGGCAGTTTTGTCAATATTTTAAGAGAGAGATGCTTCAATCTTATGGCTAGTGATAATGCCTTATTTTTTTCTTTACTTGTACTCGATGAAAGTCTTAAGGGAATGCTTGGTCCTCGACCTAGCCTCCCATTGAACTCTCTAAACTTCCTCAATAGCATGAATGTCAAAGTACTCTCACCAGTTATCTCAAACCACTAAATGTTTAGACCATATCTCAATAAACTTTTAGTTGATGTGTGTTTTTTTAAGTTTCTAAGTCAGGCATACCGATAAGTTTTGAAGCAACAATGTAGGAAAGCACGACTCGGCCCCAGAACCCAGCCCTGACCGGGCCGAGTCCGAGTAACTTGGCCCAAGTGGTGCAGGTCCTAGCCAAGCCAAAAAGTGTTAAAAAAAAACACCAAAAAAATGCCGAAAAATATGTGTGAAGTAAAATTAAACAAAACACATCTAAATGAGGTTAAAAAAGTAGTAAAAATTTTGGAAAGAAATCAATCCAAAAAGAAGGGAAAATGTAAAAATAAATATTCATGGCCAAAACACGTCTCAATCTTTGCCAAAATGATTGAAAGCATAAAAAAAAGATTACAAATAAATTTCTTAGTTTTTTGGATTTTTTTTTACTTATTTTTTAAATGTCTTTTTTAAGATCCCCAGCTTGACCAACAAACTCAGGATCCTCACTGGCAAGCCCAAGTTACTCGAGTGAGTGCAGGTTGGCTCGCCCAAGTAGTCGAACACTGTTTTGAACTTTGAGATTCTAGTGGTTTCTTTTCTTTGTGGAAAATGTTGGATATGAACCAAAAGGGCTGTTGACATAACTTGGGAATTATTAGCTCTTAGTTATTTCTTCTTATTTTTTAATGTGTGTGGATATGTGAAATTGATCTGGTTAATCTGTTCATTTTTTAGGTTTGCTGAACAAGCTTTCAGAGTCAAATGTTGAGTCAATCACTGGGGATGTCTCGAACCTCTTTCAGGTTGTTGCTTTTTCTGCCATGTTCAATCCTGACCCTTCAGTATTAAAAGTTGCTTATTTTTTCAATCCATTTTTCTCTCCATATGAGTTTACATGCTTTAAAAGACTAGACTAAACCAAAATGATTTTCTTTTAGTCATTTGACTAGTGATGCTTGATTCTTTGGCAGTCTGTTGGTCGTAGTGCAGGCAGTCAGATTGTTGGTGATGAGCTCTTGAGTTCATGTTCCAAAGGACCACGTGGCAATGAACAGTTAGTATTTAAATGCTTCATTTGTCTTTCAGTTTTCAATTGGATATGCATTTGTAAGAATTTTGAACTCATGGTATGTGTTCCTTGTAATTGTATTAACTACTTAATTGTGATTTGTGTATTGCTTGTTGTTTTGTAAAGGTATGCAGCCATTTTTGCAGCCTTTATTGCAGGAATGGCATCAATGGTTGGGATCAACTTTGGTGCCAAGATTCTTGCATCAGTGGCTAGATCTATGGAGGTTCTCTCTCCCTGCCTCCTTCCATCCCCCCCGCCCCCCTCTCTCTCGCACACACACCTCTCTCCCTTCTTCCCTCCCTCCCTGTCCCTCCCTCCCTTTCCCTCCCTCTCTCTCACAAACCCCCGCCCCCTCCTCTCTCACACACACACTCTCTCTCACTCACTCACACACACACGCACACTCTCTCTCACTCACACACACACACACACACACACATGTCTGCAGACAAGCGTTCTCGTGTAGTTGTAATTTTTGTTTTACATTTACATACTTTCCCATAAAATATTTTTGGAAAATTTATCAAAATACACCTAGGAGATGAACTATTTAACATTTTATCGATTTCTTTTGATTTGAGCCGGGCCCCAATTAGTTGGGAAAAGGCTTTGACAATGATGACCCATTTCTTTTGATTTGATTTCCAAAAGTTCATCAAACCTCATGAGTTGGAATAGTTGAAAATGGTTATATATTAACTAGTTGATCTTTCAATTGTATATTGTAGTATGTTGATGTGTAACATTCAAATTTCCTATTGGTGCTTGGTTTGCCCATTTGGTGGTTGTTATTGAATTACAATGAGAAAAAATTGGTGATGGCATGACTTGGTTTTCTAATTGTGAAGGATATTATACAAATGCAAGTTCTACATGAATCTATCAGCCAATTTAGCAATGGGTTCCTATTAATCTTTTTTTTTTTTTGGTTTTTGCTTGGTTGTTATTTGATACTTCTCAATCTGAATTCTAATTTTTTGAGTTCATGGCTTCTGCTGAGCTATTTCTATATTTTCCTTTTCAGGATGAATATTTGAAGGATGATGGTCTTTCTTTGCGAAATCTCACCCTACTACTCTCGCAGCTATGTATTTTTGGTGTTTGTTCCTGGTGAGTAAAGTTAGCATTATTTAGTGTCCATATTGCTAATGTATTTTTATATGCTTGCAAGTTTTTGACATAGATGATTCCAAGCTTCCATTAAGAAGTACTATTTGTCTCAACATTTGCTTTCTAACAGATTGCTTTTGCTTTGCAGTGACTTGATATATGACCTGCTCTCTGTATTGAGCAAACGGTTAACAGAGATGGATGTCTCCACAATCTTGACTATTCTAAAATGTCAGTTGTTTACCAGTATTCTTTATTAAATGCAAAACCATCCACGGTTTTAATTTATCGCTGATATTTCTTGTATTCTGTGCTTTAGGTTGTGGTATGAAACTTAGAGCCGATGATCCAGCTGCTATGAAAGATTTTGTCCTTGGTATTCAGCAAAGAGTGCGTGAAATTAAGTCTCTTTCTGAAAAGACCACAGATGGTCAACCAAAGATCAATAGCAAAAGGGTATAGTTCTTGTTCATTTGCATTCCTATGGACCTTTTATTTATAAGCAAAATTTCATTAGTGAGCAAAGATATACGAACTGATACGATTTCTAGGGAAGAGAAATGGACTTCCTAATATCTTGTTTCCCTCCTGGTCTCAAGTGGTCATTTACTGGACAGGGAGTTGGCTTTAGGAGATTCCCAACTGATCATCAATCTCATATCCATGTCAATCTCTTTTTATAATAATAATCCTACTTTTGCCTTGCCAGATGGAATTTATGCTTGAAACGATATGTGATATCAAAAACAACAAAAAGAGGACAAAAGAGGATCCAGTTAATCATGCCAGGTTGAAGAAATGGTTACAGAAAGTAAGTTTAGCTCTCATTTCTGTGCTCCAGGCTTTGACTGTTCTGCTTAGTTTTGGTAAATTCAAACCTGGATTAATTCTCCCCTGTCCTTCTCTTAAGAATCAAGTTCTTTCTATCCTCCTCACTAAAAATTGAAAATGAAAACCATGTTGCATTTAATTCCAGTTAAGAGTGGAAGAAATCCAGCTTCGAGGGCTCAAATGGGCCAAGCTCCTTGATCCTTATAAGAAGGGCCAATGGTGGGTTTCTGGGGACATTGTTACCATTAAAGATAATGTTGCAGAGATTGCAAGCACCATTGACACTGAAGCCTTTGAAGTTCATAAGTTGCTTCAGCTTGCAGCTGCACAAAGAATGAACACAGATGCAAGGAGAGCAATCTTCTGTATAATCATTAGTGGCGAAGATTATATTGATGCTTTTGAAAAGATTCTAAGGCTCGATTTGAATGGGAAGCAGGTCAGATTTTATTCTATTTTTTTAACCCTTTAACACTAGTTTATCACACCTTCTCTAATAACAATGTCTGTCAATTTCTGTTTTAATGGTTGACTCCCATAATCAACATTCTTATGTTTTTGGGTTTTTTGGTTTGATGCCATTTTCACGTGTAGTATCTTCTGTATGCAACAGGATAGAGAAATCATGCGCGTTCTCGTGGAGTGTTGCTTGCAAGAGAAGGTATTCAACAAGTATTACGCAGTCCTAGCCTCCAAGTTATGCAACCATGACAAGAACCACAAGTTTACTCTACAGGTACTGTTATCTTGTTCCTTATTTTCTTCATGCACAGTTTTGGCTTTTCTTACTGCTTGCATATACAATCTGTAAGTCCATTCTGTCATTACTTTTATCGGCAATGTTTCACTTTTTGGGATGAAGATCCCTAGACTAAGATTGAGGAGCTAGGTTTTAGGTTCCTTAGGTCATCTCTCTCTCTCTGGTTTTTATCAAATAAATATCGTTTCTTGTTGGCTTATGGAGCTAGAGTTTTAGGTTCCTTAGGTCGTCTCTCTTTTGGTTTTTCTCAAATAAATCTCATTTCTTGTTGGCTTATGACTATCAGTACTGCTTATGGGACCATTTCAAGCAACTGGATTCCATAGAGCTGAGAAGATCCATGAACCTTGCCCATTTTGTGGCCGAGCTCCTGAGCACCTTCACCCTCTCTCTAGCCGTGCTCAAGTCAGTCGACTTCACTGATCCCAACTCTCTAACCCCAAGACGAGTCATGCATTTCCGACTATTCTTTGAAGCCCTCTTCGAGCACCCTGATTCACTTGTGTGGAATATGTTTTCTCGAATTGCAGGCACCCCTGAGCTCGAGGCACTTAGAAATGGCATTGAGCTTTTCATAAAGCAGTGTGTTCTCAAGGTTCCATCCTCAGAGGCTCAATCACTTAAACTGAAATTTAAGGTTGCCAAGAAGGCTTTGAACAATGTAGCCGGGATCCTTATGTGAATTTGGATGAGTTTGCATGTTTTATTTTCTCAAAAAATTAGAAAAAAAATCAATTGGGAGAGAGAAAAGGAAAACCGGAAGTCTATCGTGTTGAGTGGAATGGTGGCCTGTCTAGTGCTCCGTGATTGGTTATGTAATAGGGTGACCTTTTTATGAGGTGCACACTTTATAATGTACAAGTAAGGCCCACCTCTAAATTTTGCCGGAAGATATAGTTTTGGTGCCGGAAACCTTACAATGGCTAATGTAATGTGCACGTTTAATCCTAATTATAAATTTTAAAAGGTTTAAAATTTTAGAAATGGAATAGATCGTGCAGATTTATAAATACTTGAAAATATTGAAAATAGACGGTTTAGATCATTTGTTACAAGAGGCATTATATTTAGGCAAGTTTGTATGCTCGATCTTTATGAAGAAAGTGTTCAATTGGAAAATTAATTTAATAGATCAAGCTCAAAAACAAAAATTTTGAGACAAATTTAATTAATTTCGGCATGAAGAAGAAAAATGGAAAAAACCAAAGTCAAGTCTTCTAGGTTCAAAAAGAGCTACTATAATCACTTGACTCAACGATTCCTGGTTTTCTAACAGAATGACCTAGTTCTACTGATAGGACCAATTGATCATGTGATATTCAAACGGATTCCCAGTTCCACGAATGAGCATATTGTACACCTAAGTAGACCAACTTGGAGTTGGCTTTAGTAATCATTAATGCACAAGGGAACGGCACTGGAGTTGGCCTAAGTAATCATCGATGCTCAAGGAAACAGCACGAAGCGATGATATGCTACGCAAGCAAATGGGTCAATTCAAGGTAGTGTAACGCCTTGCTCCATGCTTATGTACTCTGCTCGCTGCCTACGAAACGAGTTACTCCATGCTCCATGCTTATGTACTCCATGTTTATGTACTCTATTCGCTTCATCTAATATATATATATATATATATATATATATATGGGCAATGATTTCATGCAACCGTTGTGTAGTAATTTGATGCAATAACCTTAAAAAACCATTTTATGGCCATTTATTTGATTCAAATTTTGAAATATACACTCTTTTCATTCTAATGAACAATCACAAAAAAAGAAAAATTTGAAAACACAACCTAAACAATTCTTTTTTAGCCCAATTAACATAGACCGTTCATTTTTGTGAGATGCTTAGATCTAGGCCTTAGAATAATTTTTTCATTTCCAAATTTTTTTATGGCTTTATATCATTAGATGAACAATTATTAAAAGAAAAAAAAATGATTTTGATTTTATAAACGCTAAGATCTTAAAATTCATAAAATGAATGGTCTAAATTCGTTTTTGGAGGGGACTCATTTTGACCGTATCTAGGGTTCAAATTGAACTTTTTCTTTTGGACGGATTGATTATTGAGATGAAGAGAGTGTCTTTGCAAAATTTAAGATCATACAAATACCACAAACATGGTTTTCTAGAAGTGTCGTTGCATTATACTACGATACAACCGTTGCATTGTACTATCATACAACCGCTGCATTATACTATCATACAACCGTTGCATTGGATCATTGCTATATATATATATATAAAGCAGTGATTTCATACAGCAGATGTATAATAATATGATGCAACAACTTTCAAAAACTATGTTATTGCCATTTGTTTGATTCAAATTTTAAAATATACACCATTTTCATTCTAATGAATAATCATAAAAAAGAAAAATTTAAAAACACAACCTAGAAAGTATTTTTTTAGCTCAATTAACATAGGCCTTCAAAAAAATAAAACGATACTTAGATCTAAGTCTTACAAGGATTTTTTCGTTTTCAATTTTTTTATATGATTTTATTATCATCGGATGAAAAATATTAAATAAAAAAAAAAAACTGATTTTCAATTAATAAAAGCTAAAATCTTGAAATTCACCAAATGAATTATCTATATTTATTGTTAGAGGGGACTCATTTTGACCATATCGAGAGTTCAAAATGATTTTTTTGGCGGGAGGGATTGATTATTGAGATGAAAAGCGTGTACAAAATTTTGATTCATATAAATACCACAAATATGGTTTAGTAATAATGTGATTTACACACAAATAAATCATTTACTTTTTGTACAAAGAAATCACAATCACTTATGTCCCTTAAATTTCAAATTGAGTGGTTGTAGGAAAGAAATCACAATCACTTGTGTCTCTTAAATTTCAAATGGTTGTGGGAGTGTCATGAATTTAAATTGAATGGTTGTAAAAATGTCATTTCATAGACTCAAAATTCAAAAAAAAAATTTATCGGACTTTGTAACTCACCCTAAGCCATCCAATGAGTAAAAATAATTGTACCCTCCTTATTCAAAAAAGAAGTTTTCTTTCTATACAATCCCTATATACATAGAAAGAGAGGGACCCATTTTTTATTTAAACACCTACCACGGATCGATTCCCTGTGGTGGCATTTCATATAAAAACACTAATACATACAACAACTACCACTGGCTTCTCACACAACAATTTTGAAGCCAATGAACAGAATCTCATCCTAAATTTTACACAACTCTACCCATAAAATCCCAATGTAAAAAGCAAAATACAGTCCATAATACACGTGACATAAGGACCAAACAGGTGTGTATCGAGAATAGACAATCAACATTATTTTTTATTATATAAATAATAATCAACTAATTCTTGCTGCGACCCACTTATTGTCACTGAAAGGTAAGACTTCTGCACTTTTAGGGAGCACCATTTTGGACCCATTCGGGATCACCACCAACCTTTGCACAGCCCTGGATTCTTTACCCAAAGAAGGCTCTGAAACTGATGCCATAAAAAATAGATGAGTCAATTCAGTATTAGGATATGAACTTCTTGTCTTTCTTCTCTCTTTTTTTTTTTTGGCAGATTTAACATGGAATTTAAATAAATGATAGTTTAATAATATTAACAGGAAGTAGCATTCAGAATTGATAGATAAGGTTTTCCTTTTCTTTCTTTTTCTTTTTGCTAATCAATAAAGGACTTTAATTTGAGTATATAATAATCTTATTACCAGATATGACAGATGAATTCTTGGAATCAGGAGGAGAGATGTTAGGGCCATCAGAGCCCATGTCTATGGAACGCTTTTTATTGCTTCTCTCTGCATCTAACTCAATTTGTGGAGACTCTGCAGTTCTCTCACCCTTGCTGGAAATCTCTTCTGTAAAGATCACAGTCAAAAGTCACTGCTAGGAATCCTTAAGTTCTTGAAATTGGGCAATAATTTCAAATTTTCAATAATTTGTGCTGCAAATGATAGGAAATAGAAAGAGTTCGAACCGTGTTATTGTTTATCTGCTTAATATATTGACAAAACAGAGTGGCCATGTTTCAGACAGGTTCAGGTGGATGAAAATGGTAGTATAGAGAGAGAGAGAGAGAGAGAGTCAAAACATATTTCAGGGATATCCTAATACCATATCATCCACATAGTAATATAGGAAACAAATCAGTCCAGGTGGAAGCCATTGCTAAACCAATTGAACAAAAGCCTGGATAACTTCAAACTAGGGACCAATCAAACCTCAACATATAGACATGCCAGGACATAAACCCAAAATGTCATATAACGCCAAGTCTGCAACTACCTAATAGAATTTACAAAACATCAATTTAAATGGATAGAATAATTAACATGGAGAGACTTCCACCATGCCACTTGAATGAAGGCGTTGCAGTATTTGTTCAATTATACAAAACATCAATTTAAATGGATAGAATAACACATATAAGCCTCAAAAGATGAATTGTCACCTTCAATTGCTTTGGTAGTATCCTCCATGGAAACAGTAGTGCTTGCATTAGAAGAAGCACATGGGGAGACTTCCAACATGCCACTTGAATGAAAGCGTTGCAGTATTCGTTCTATTATATAAAACATCAATTTAAATGGATAGAATAACAAATATAAGCCTCAAAAGATGAATTGTCACCTTCAATTGCTTTGGTAGTATCCTCCATGGAAACAGTAGTGCTTGCATTAGAAGCAGCACATGGAGAGACTTCCACCATGCCACTTGAATGAAGGCGTTTCAGTATTCGGTCCGACCTCCCTGAAAACAAGAAATTTCTGTTACTTTTCTATTTCTATCTTCTACATTTCAATCTTACTTCTTTTTTCTTCCCTTCAGCTCTTCATATATAATCCAACCCAGTCAAGGATCAAAATAGATTAGACCGTATCAGCCATTTTTCCAATATGATGGCTAGTCTGACCCCAATATATTTGTTCAATTTAAAGCATTAAGCACTACCGCAGATTTTAACATAATTGTTATCTTACGACAAAATGAATGATCTTTTAATCACTGAAATAAGGCATCAAGTTTATACTATAGAAGTAAGATACACCTCACAACCACAACAGGAAAAGGTTGTTTCAACACTAGAAAACCCCCCCAATTGATCATCTCAGCCTCCTGAATTATGGAAATAAAGAAAAAAAACTTTCAAGTCGTAAAACTTTCAAAGATGTTTATAGATATGCTCGATCCGTATCACTTTTGGAGCTTAGAATTTCATAATTAGGAAACTAGATTTTCATGCCATCACAAAAATTTCCTGCATGTCCCGACAAGGTTTCAAGGTGCGTGGTACTATTGTTTAAGCTTGACACCTCATACAAACTGCACCCTTTAAAGAATGACAAGAGGAGATTGTTCATCCATTGTCTACCACAAAATGGTAGAGATTAGTGGTGGAGATTTGCATGAAGGAAAATATATACCATTGATAGTTCCTAGCAATCATGTCTGGGTGAAAGTGAATCTATCGAAAGTATGGCCAATCTCCACCTTACATCATTGAGAATGGACAGTGGGTATGTTGGGTGTGTCCATATACAATTAGACAAGCTGCCCATAAAAGGACTAATACAACAATTCGAAAAGTAAGATTGACGGAAGAAAACTAGGGCTCATGAAACATAAGAAAACATGGAGACAATTAAGAGGAAAGATTTCACACCATCTTTAAGATTGAAGTAAGCAACTCTGGCTGCATCCAGTTCTGCCTCTTTTTTATTTTTTGCTGGTTTTCCAGAGAAACTCTTTCCATCCACTTCAACAGTGGAACTGAAAATTGGCAAATGGGGTTCACCAGATCTCACCGTCTTGTATTCTGGTAAGGGAAGGCCTTCTTTCTGAGCCAGTTCTTGTAATAGATTCTTATATAAGTGAGATCCATTCTGCAAGGGCAAGTGGTACTTAGCTTTTGCCATGTTTTAAATTTCTAATAGAATTAGAAGAAGTTTGCCATAAACCAACCAATCATTTGATGATAGCGAGGTCAATCTTCAATTACTCATAATCGTTGATATACTAAACTCTCTCTCTCTCTTCCTCTACT